GCAGAGCACTGTACGTGTTCATGCCTGGAGAACCACTCTCTACACCATCCATGCCTATTGTTATTATGGCTCCCATAAAATTTCTAACATAGAATGTTAGAGGATTGCGTGCAAAGCCTAAACGCACTGCAATCTTGAATCACCTCAAATATCAACTGGCTGATGTACGTGTCCTGGTGGAAACCCATATTACTGGCAAACCGCACCTTGCTCTTAAAAAAAAAACCCTTGACAGGCTGGCTGTACCAGGCCCCCTTTACATCACAATTTCAGGGGGTGGCAATCCTTATTGCTAAAACAGTACAATTCCAGTGACCCATTGCAAATCAGATCCACAGGGCAGGTGTCTATTCTTACACGCAATAATTAGTGGAGTGAACTGTTGCTACTAGCGTACTATATCTCTACTCTTTTCCAATTTTCTGCTGTGCATGATGGATGAACCACTTGCCAACCGTGCTATAGCCGAATGAAGGCTACAGCACGGTTGTCCAGTTCAGGGAGGGCATCATATGACGTCCTCCCATAACGCCCTGGGGGCACACACAGAAACGATCTCCATGATCACAGACACAGCTGATCACATGATGTGGTAAAAGGCCAAACACAGCAGCCTTTTACCACGTGATCAGCGGTAAATGCAGTTGCCGATTATCGGCTGCACTTTCCTCACACTGTCACAGCGTGAGGAAAGTACTGCCAATAACCGGCAATTGTCAGAGGACGGATCGGAACCGATCATCGGGGAGCTGATCATCAGTGCCCTGATGATCAGCGCTCAGCAGTGCCACCCACCAGTGCCACCCACAAGTGCCCATCAGTGCCTAGTAGTGCCACCCACCTGTGCCCATCAGTGCCGCCTCATCCTAGACTGTAAGCTCTAACAATTAGTGCCCTCGGTTTCCTCTTGTACCAAATTGTATTGTAACTAATGTCTACCATCATTTTGTAAAGTGCTGCGCAAACTGTTGGCGCTATATAAATCCTGTATAATAATAATAATCAACGCACATCAGTGAAGGAGAAAAATTACCTGTTTGCAAAATTTTATAATAGAAATAAAGAAAAACGTTCTTCAAATTTTTTGCTTTTGGTTTATAGCGCAAAAAATAAAAACACCCAGCGGTGATTAAATACCACCAAGAGAAAGCTCTATTTGTATGAAAAAATTTATAAAAATTGCTTATGGGTACAGTGTTGCATGACCGCGCAATTGTCAAAGTGTGACAGCGCTGAAAGCTGAAAATTGGCCTGGGCAGGAAGGGGGTATAAGTGCTTGGTAGGCAAGTGGTTAAGCCTTTATGGCCCAGTACCTCATAACTCCTATATAGTTGGGTGATTTTATTATGGTTATAGATCACTCCCTTGATAAAGTGGGCTCAGATGCTCCAGTTTGGCTCCCCTTACTAGATTTGGCAGGCTTTTAGCTGAATTTGTCCTGGTAGATACAGGTGAAACTCAAAAAATTAGAATATCGTGCAAACGTTCATTTATTTCAGTAATGCAACTTAAAAGGTGAAACTACTATATGAGATAGACTCATTACATGCAAAGCAAGATAGTTCAAGCCGTGATTTGTCATAATTGTGATGATTATGGCTTACAGCTCATGAGAACCCCAAATCCACAATCTCAGAAAATTATAGAATAGAACAAAAACTCTATAGCTTCCCACAGAAAAGTCAAACTTTCACCCTTGAAAGTGCAAATATCATAAACCTTTTCAATAATCTACGTTAAACACACACCCTCTCCCACAATCTCATATACTACCATAGTGTCCATAAGTGATCCCGATGCTCATTGCTGCAGGAGGAGGGGATTCCATTGTGTACTCCTATTAAAGGAAAGCATACTCCCAGTGAAGGCAATTCTATCTGGCATATGGGGATTTCAGAATGCTTTGAAAGCAGAAAGAGGGTAATTGTATATTATCCCAAATGTAGAGCGGTGACACTTATTAGATTTGGCACTACTTTTCACTGATCACCTAATTGTGTATTTGTGGTATTACACGGATTGCAGTGGTTGTTTCACAGGACCACTAGTGAAGCAGTGTGTGGATTTTCACTTCACGTGTGTGATGTTTATTTTTTAGTGTATTTACATCACCAGTGTGCTTGCATGATATCACTTATAATTTTTGTTAAAGACAATGCACTATATTTAGTTTATTTTTTTGAGGTGCTTTGGATTGAAGGGAAGATTTGGACATTTTCACAGTTGGAAGATTGGAGAGTGAGGACTATAATTTTTTTCATTTTAATTTTTGGATTTTCAATTTTGAATTTGGGACTTTATTATGGACACTATGGTAGTAGTATGAGATTGTGGGAGAGGGTGTGTGTTTAACGTAGATTATTGAAAAGGTTTATGATAATCTCAGAAAATAACATATTACATGAAATCAATAAAACAAGGATTGTACATAGAACAATATCGGACCTCTGAAAAGTATAAGCATGCATATGTACTCAGTACTTAGTTTGGGCCCCTTTTGCAGCAATTACTGCCTCAATGCGGCGTGGCATGGAAGCTATCAGCCTGTGGCACTGCTGAGGTGTTATGGAAGACCAGGATGCTTCAATAGCGGCCTTCAGCTCTTCTGCATTGTTCGCTGTCATGTCTTTCATCTTTCTCTTGGCAATGCCCCATAGATTCTCTATGGGGTTCAGGTCAGGCGAGTTTGCTGGCCATTCAAGCACAGTAATCCCACGGTCATTGAACCATATTTTGGAACTTTTGGCAGTGTGGGCAGGTGCCAAGTCCTGCTGGAAAATGAAGTCAGCATCCCCATAAAGCTCGTCTGCAGAAGGAAGCATGAAGTGCTCCAAAATCTCCAGGTAGAAGGCTGCGTTGACCCTGGACTTAATGAAGCACAGTGGACAAACACCAGCAGATGACATGGCTCCCCAAATCAACACAGACTGTGCAAACTTCACACTGGACTTCAAGCATGTTGCAGTGTGTGCCTCTCCATTCTTCCTCCATACTCCGGGTCCTTGGTTTCCAAATGAGATGCAAAAGTTGCTCTCATCAGAAAAGAGGACTTTGGACCACTGAGCAACAGACCAGATCTGTTTTTCTTTAGGCCAGGTAAGATGCTTCTGACGTTGTTTGTTGTTCAGGAGCGGCTGGACAAGAGAAATACGACATTTTGAAGCCCATGTCCAGGATCCGTCTGTGTGTGGTGGCTCTTGATGCACTGACTCCAACCTCAGTCCACTCCTTGTGAAAGTCCCCAACACTTTTGAATGGCCTTTTCCTGACAATCTTCTCCAGGCTGTGGTCATCCCTGCTGCTTGTGCACCTTTTTCTTCCACACTTTTCACTTCCACATAACTTTCTATTAATGTGCTTTGATACAGCACTTTGGGAACATCCAACTTCTTTTGCAATTACCTTTTGAGGCTTTCCCTCCTTATGGAGGGTGTCAATGATGGTTTTCTACACAACTGTCAGGTCAGCTGTTTTTCCCATTATTGTGATTCCTACTGAACCAGACTGAGAGACCATTTAAAGGCTCAGGAACCCTTTGCAGATGTTATGGCTTAATTAGCTGATTAGAGTGGGACACTTTGAGCCTAGAATATTGCACCTTTTCACAATTTTCTGAGATTGTGGATTTGGGGTTTTCCTGAGCTGTAAGCCATAATCACCACAATTGATGACAAATCACAGCTTGAACTATCTTGCTTTGCATGTAATGAGTCTCATATATTAGTTTCACCTTTTAAGTTGCATTACTGAAATAAATGAACTTTTTCACGATATTCTAATTTTTTAAGTTTCACCTGTACATGGAGACATACATTCACCGGCCACTTTTTTTTTTTTTTTTTTTTTTTTTAGGTATACCTGTTCAATTGCTTGGTAACACAAACTGCTAATCAGCCAATCACATGGCAGCAACTCAATGCATTTAGGCATGTAAACGTGGTGAAGACGACTGAAGTTCAAACAGAGTATCATAATGGGGAAGAAAGGGGATTTAAGTGACTTTGAACATGGCTAGTTGTTGGTATCAGATGGGCTAGCCTGAGTATTTCAAAAACTGCTGATCTACTGGATTTTCATGCACAACCATCTCTAGGGTTTGCAGAGAATGTACTGAAAATGAGAAGATATCCAGTGAGTGGCAGTTGTGTGCATGAAAATGCCTTATTGATGTCAGAGGAGAATGGGCAGACTGGTTGCTGCGACATTCAGATGGTAGGGTCAGAATTTGGCGTAAACAACATGAAAGCATGGAGCCAACCTGCCTTTTATCAACGGTTTATGCTGGTGGTGTAATGGTATGGGGGGATATTTTCTTGGCACTAGCAACGTGTACCCAAAAAAGTGGCCGGTGAGTGTAAGTACCCTACATCCAGGACATATGCACGATTTTCATGTTTTTCCACTCTACTATGTTACATATTGATTATATCCTTATCTTTGCTATACAAACTGGGAGAGGTGGGATTTAGTGCCAGCGTACTGTGTTCATATAGTGAACTTGGTGTTGAGTTATTCACTTTAGGGTCATCACAGAGAACAAGGGGGCATTGTATGTCTGGAGGAAAATAGATTTAAACTCCAAATACGCAAAAAAGGTTTCTTCACAGTAAGAGCTGTGAAAATGTGGAATGGACTCCCTCAAGAGCTTGCTCTGGCCAGTTCAGCAGATTGCTTTAAAAAAAGGCCTGAATTCTTTCCTAAATGCAAATATAACTGGATACTAACATTTATAGGTAAAGTTGATCCAGGGAATATCAGATTGCCTCTCAGGGGAATCAGGAAGGAATTTTTTCCCCTGCAGGAGCAAAGTAGATCATGCTTTACTCAGGTTTTTTGCATTCCTCTGGATCAACTGTGGGTATAGGATTGTGTATATGGGATTGTATAATTTTCAACTAGATGGACTTGTGTCTTTTTTCAACCAGACTAACTATGTAATTGACATTTAAATTCTTTGGGGAAAAATAAAAGAAGATTCCCCCTTATATTATGCTTCTCACCTGCAGCTGTTCACGAAGCGCACTCTGCTCCTTTGAAAACTTCTGCTCAAACGCCTTTCTTTCCTGGAGGAAACAAGAGATTTGAAAATTTTTGTAACAAGATGACAGCAGCATAGCAATCAAATTCTTTTTTTTAACAATAAATTAGTTTTACCTTGTCCAGCTTCTCCATAACATCTTGGTTCTGTTGATTCTAGTTAACACACAAAACACAATAATTAATAAAAAGCATGTTGTACACAGAAGGCAGCAAAGTCAAACAGTTATGATGTGTAGCAGCACACTAATCAGTGGTTTGAAACAGAACCTGCAATATACCACTTGAATCATAATTTCACTTTGTAGACTTCTTGTATCAAGCATGAACTCTTTCACTGCAGCAACCACAGGCAGATGTGCCTTTTGTGATTTGCTCCCAGCTGCCAATCACAATCTGTAAGTTGACCTGCAGAAGCTGTGCTAAGGAAGACACAGCATTAAAGTTTATTCATTGCTCATCGATTAACTTCTCTTATTGTCCCCTATTTGGTCTGCTAAAGTATGTTTATGTTCTATTATATACACACACTATATATATATATATATATATATATACACACACTATATATATATATATATATATATATATATATATTTTTTTTTTTATTATTATTATTTTTTCTTAGATAAAGTGGAATGGGGGTAAAGCACGTCAGGTTATTTTTTGCTGTCCCATTTCATCCTCACTTTTTGTTCTGGTGATCACTCTAAATGTAGGGATTTACTATTTCATTGACAGTGGTCGTCATGACCAAAAAAAAATTTGACATAAGGCCTAACCCTTCCTCACGCTTTTAAAAAGTATACACTTAAAATACATAGCTGAAAGCATTTTATTATATCATTCCAAAAAGGGCAAAATTATACCAGGTGATTCTTCAGAATTTCTTAGCAATCATGTGTCCCCTTGCACTCTATTATCTCAAAGACTCTAACCAGGTATCAAAGGCAATCAGCAGCAGCAGCAGGAGGATATCACATGGCAGACTGAATAACAATGTTGCTGCACTATTCTATCCTTAGCACTGCAGTGTAATATGATTTTACAGAGAGCCTTCTCACATAAATTGCATTTCATGTTAAATAAAAATGTCTGTTCATGGACTGAAAAGAATATTAATGTGTGCCATATGTAAAAACAACATTTTAAAAACTAAAAAGAACACAGCATTTTGTACAGTAAAAAAATGACATACAAAATAAGCTTTGTTACCACTAAGCATGTTCTATAGACAACATATACAAGGACATTAAGTGGTAATAAAAGACAAGGTCCTACACATGCAAAAGGGGAAAGATTAAAGTGATTTAAAGAAACAGCAGTGAGTAGAGTCAGCACATGATATAGAGCATAGAGAGCAGTACACATTATAGAACTGTGTTAGCTTTACTCTTCTCTTACCAGTTCCTCTATCTTTGAACTGAGCTGTTTGTTTGTTAAATTACTGGAGTCCAAGGCAGCAGACAAATCTTGGAAACGAGACTGCGGCGCATGCACATACAAATGAGAGAAGACAGATTGAGAAAAGGAAAAGGAGAACAATAAACATTTATAGACATGGGCATTATAAAAGAAAACAACGCTTTGTTTACATATTCAAGCCTACCTTTCTAGTAATGAAGGCCATAAATTTGGGGGGTTATGGCCTGCCGCTTTAGGTTTCATTAAAGACTCCTGCCCACTTACAAAGAAATGAAAGGTCTATAATTTTTTATCATGTATATTCATACATCATGATTCATATATATCATGTGTATTTTAAATGATAGAGACAAAATATCAACCAAAAATCCAGAAAAAACACAAGATACAAATGTTATAAATTGAGTTGCAGTTCAATAAGTAAAAAAAGTATTGGATCTACAAGCAAAACATGACTTAGTACTTGATGGAGAAACCCTTGTTGGCAAGCTCATAAAACGTTTCTTGTAGTTGGTTACCAGGCTTGTACACATCTCAGGAGGGATTTTGGTCCACTCTTCTTTACATATCTTCTCTAAATCCTTAAGGTTTCTTGGCCGACGCTTGGCAACTCGAAGTTTCAGCTCCCTCCATACATTTTCTGTAGGATTAAGGTCTGGAGATTGGCAGGCCACTCCATGATCTTAACGTGCTTCTTCTTGAGCCAGTCCTTTGTTTCCTTGGTGGTATGTTTTGGGTCATTGTCATGCTGGAAGACCCATCCACGACCCATTTTCAATGCCCTGGCATGTGTTCTGGAAGTGTTCTGGCTGAGAGAAGAAGGTTCTCATCCAAGATTTTACAATACATGGCCCCTCAATACGACAAAGTCAGCCTGCACCTTTAGCAGAGAAACAGCCTCAAAGCATAATGTTTTCACCTCCGTGCTTGACTGTAGGGATGGTGTTCTTAGGGTCATCGTCAGCATTTTTCTTCCTCTAAACAGTTACGTTAATGCCAAAGAGCTCAATTTTGGTCTCATCCGACCACAGCACTTTATCCCAATCCTTCTCTGAATCATTTAGATGTTCATTGGCAAACTTCAGAAAGGCCTGTACATGTGTCTTCTTGAGGAAGGGGACCTTGCGGTTGCTGCGGGATTTCAATCCATGGTGGTGTATTGTGTTACCAATGGTTTGTTTGGAGACTGGTCCCAACTGCCTTGAGATCATTCACAAGCTCCCTGCTGTGTAGTTCTGGGCTGATCCCTCACTTTTCTTATGATCATCGTTACCCCATGAGGCAAAATATTGTATGGAGTTCCAGACCAAGGGCAATTAATGGTTATTTTGTATTTCTTCCATATCTGAAAAATTGCTCCAACAGTTGTCTCCTCACAAAGCTTCTTGCCGATGGTCTTGTAGCCCATTCCAGCCTTGTGCAGGTCTACAATCTTGTCCCTAACATCCTTTGACATCTCTTTGGTCTTGCCCATTATTGTGAGGAAGACTGAGATTTTGTGGACAGGTGTCTTTTATACACATAACGAGTTGTCATTAGGAGCACCTTCTAAAATTGAAATCTAATCTGTGTAGCACATGAGCACATAGCCAGTCTGTGTGAGTCAGAATTATTGAAAGTTGGTAGGGGATCAAATACTTATTTTACTCACCGAACTGCAGCTGAAATTATAACATTTGTATCATGTGTTCTTTCTGAATTTTTGGTTGATATTCTGTCTTTATCATTTAAAATACATCTATGATAAAAAAATATAGGCCCTTCATTTCTTTGTAAATGGGAAAACTTACAAAATCTACAGGGGATCAAATAATTATTTTCCCCACTGTACATAACCTTGGTTGAATTTGTAAAATGTTAGCCATTTTTAGTGCACCAATGCCACAAAACAGCTTGCTTCCAGTATGCCAAAAAACCTAAACATTTATGGAAGAAAGCATTTGAAGCAATGAGACCAAAACTGAACTCAATGGTCCCAACCATAAGCATTATGTTTGGAGAGTAGTCAACAAGGCCTATGAAGACAACACCATCTCTACTGTGAAGCATGGAGGTGGATCTTTGCTATTTGTGAGGGATGTGGTCTACAGTAGCACAGAGAACTTAATCAAAATGTATGGCAAAATAAATGCAGCACATCAGAAAATTTTGGAAAAACATTTTAATTAATCTGCCCAGAAGCTGCATATGGAGAGCACTTGGACTTCCCAACAAGACAATGATCCAAAATATAAAGCAAAATCAACCCTTTAGTGGCTGCAGAAAAAAAACAAAAAAAAAAAAAACGTGGAGTTTCTATGGTGGCCATCACAACCTTTTGACCTCATCATTAAAAGGATAAGTTCACCTTTGGAACATGTTACATCTTCCATCCGTTTTTAGAGTGGAACATGTAACATGTTCCCATAGCCTCAGCCGCGCCCGCCCTCTGACAAATCGTACGAGGATAAATTTTCCTGTACTGTCAAATTTGAAAACAGCGTGGCCATGCGGGGCTACGCCCACGCGGCCATGTCACTCACAGTGTTCAGTGTTAGCGGCTGTGGGCTTGTAGTTTTCAATGAACTACCATGGTGTGAAGCCTCCGGTCAGTATATCTGCTTGCTCATACATCCCGTACAGCAAGCAAATATTCTGACAGGTCTGCAGGAGACCTGCACGGCTTCTGCAATTTACTGATAGCTGGTGCAATGCTTTACAGGCTCCTTTGGACAAAATAATAAATGCACATTTTTTTACCTGCAAAAAAATGTGCATTTATTATTTTTGTCCAAAAGGTGAACTTATCCTTTAAGACACTTTGGGGATATCCCTAACCAAATTAAATTTACAGGACTTGGAGGCTTTTCCCAAGAAGAATGAGCAGCTTTCCCATACAAGAGAATAAAGGGACTATAACAATTTAACTGAAAGTTGTCATTGATGCTAATGTGACAATACTTGATATTAAAACTTAGGGGTATGCAGAACTTTTGAACAGGAACATTTAATATCTTCCTTTATTACTATGGTTTGTTTAAAGTGTGAGTTCACCTTTACCAAAAAAGACACTATGAAGTCCCACAAGGGTGAGTTCGTATGTAAACCTACCTTCCAGCCAGGGCTTCCTTTTAGTTTAAAGAATGTAGCCTAAAACCACATTTAAAAGAAGCCTTCCTAAAATCTCCTGCAGCCTGTGATGGCTCCATTCTGAGTTACTGCAGGAACAGGGCAGCTGACGGAAACCAGGACCATGGTTCCATGGGAGAAAGCGATGTCCTGTTCTTTCGGGCCACAAATGCGCAGTGTGTGCTCTCTCCTGTTGCTTATGATAAGCTCAGCTACTGCGACAAGCGAGAGTACAAACTGCGCATGTGTGGCTCGAAGAAACAAGACAGCACTCCCTCCTATGGAGGCTCCCTGGAGTTATGGGGCACTGGTCCCAACAGCTACTCTGTATATAAATAAGCTTTGTATTACATTGTGCTGTTCCGTGATGCCGAATAATTATGAATCACATTAAAAAAAAAAAAAAAAAAAAGTGTGTTTAGTCTGATCACTCAGGTTTTCTTAAAACAAAAAAAGGCCCCTATCAATTTCCCCAAGGGTATACACAACTGTATTGGCTGAGATGTAGCAGAAAGCTTCTGTTGTACACATTTCCTTATATGGAAAAAGGTGCCAAAATGGTTATTCCTGCATGACTGAGCTAACCTCAGAGCTCTGCACTATTGAATTCAAACAGGGAAAAATAGTATTTAATATTTAAAATATTTAACCCCTTACATTGGATGCCTCTCATTGCTTGGCCTTATAGCTCAGTTTGTGTATGTTTGTTTTTTTATAAACTTTCCTGGTGGAGTTTATATCAGACAAGCATGAATTATCACAGTTAAACTTACCTCTAATTCGGGACTCGTGGCTGAGCTGATATTCTCCCCATTCATGTAAGAATTACTCTAGAAAAGGAAACCATTGTTTTTTCAGATCAGAGCAAAGCTTTGTGATCACACATACACACACTCAAACAGGGTATTTTTTACCTAGCTTTTAGTAACAAAAATGTTAGGTTAGGACAATTTATCATAAAAAGGTTTATGTATTATTATTCCTCATTTTGCAGGCATGGTGTTAGGTTGGCCATATCTGATCATTTTTACAAAATTGGTTACATTGGTAGAATGACTGAGTGTATAGCTAGCATACAGCTGAATACGTTTTTAGCAATAGCAAAGTTGTTGCTCATACTGCAGACTACTGGATTCATTGAGAGGGAGAAGACTGACTCTGGGTGAGAGCACCATTTTTAGATTTTTAATTTTAGCTGTCATAAATAAGCTTTGTATTACAGTGTACTTATAGGATGTATTTTATTTAAACATGCTTTTTCACCATTCTGAGCTCGGTCTTTCCTTTTTCAAATGGGCTTGCTTTAAAAGGCTCAAGCTACAATACACACCTCCTCTTCAGCCTGTCCTCTGCAATAATTCCTTTATAGCACTAGAAGTCTTTTCAAGACTGAGCATAGGGCACCATGGACTCATCCAGAGATATCACATGCAGACAGGGTATGCAGCGCTAAACAAAAATTAAATGTAGAGAACTAAGTTCCCAGTAGTTCCGTATAAATGAAGTTATGATGCTGGTAGCCAGTTCAGATTCCAAATGTGATAGTAGAACCAAACCAGTTAGAGTAAAAAAATGTTCATAACAGCAAGGCATCAATATGCAATCCTGAAGAAACCAACAAAATTATGCGCTTACCACAAGGGCATACAAACAAGGCGTTGTATGCATATACTCTGGTGTATCGTCAGTGGGCAGAAGAGCCTGGTTCACATTGCAGACAGCATCCGGTCACTAGGAGGAGATATCAGCACACACTCTGGGATCCCATCCAGCTCATTAGATAGGTCCAACGGCGTCCAGCCTCCCAGTATATACTTCTCCTATGGTGGTCCACATGAGCAAATAGCCAGGTCAGGTGTCAACCTCCCTGGTGATCTAGGGCTCCCTGGTGTGTAATGGCGTCAGCTGGGCGAGTCCCCTAACATGTTTCAAGCTCGAAACATGTTAGGGGACTCGCCCAGCTGACGCCATTACACACCAGGGAGCCCTAGATCACCAGGGAGGTTGACACCTGACCTGGCTATTTGCTCATGTGGACCACCATAGGAGAAGTATATACTGGGAGGCTGGACGCCGTTGGACCTATCTAATGAGCTGGATGGGATCCCAGAGTGTGTGCTGATATCTCCTCCTAGTGACCGGATGCTGTCTGCAATGTGAACCAGGCTCTTCTGCCCACTGACGATACACCAGAGTATATGCATACAACGCCTTGTTTGTATGCCCTTGTGGTAAGCGCATAATTTTGTTGGTTTTCTTCAGGATTGCATATTGATGCCTTGCTGTTATGAACATTTTTTTACTCTAACTGGTTTGGTTCTACTATCACATTTGGAATCTGAACTGGCTACCAGCATCATAACTTCATTTATACGGAACTACTGGGAACTTAGTTCTCTACATTTAATTTTTGTTTAGCGCTGCATACCCTGTCTGCATGTGATTTTGAGTTTTAAGGTGTTGAGATTTACCTTGTATGCCAGCTGCTGCATTGTGCCTTTTTCATTACTTTCTGCGCTCACTTACCCCACTGTTATTTGTACGTCATCCAGAGATATGTTACTATGACACCCTGCTCTCACATTCAACAATGAAGTCCAGACTGTGGCTGGAATCAAAATGGGTCCCAAAACTCATTTCATTTGGTCAGGAGTTATAGCCTTCCCTTACTCTGCCAACAAAAATACTGATTTCTGTCTACGGTGCTGTTGGAGATTTTCCCTTCCCTTCTTGTCTGGTAAAACCATTGTTACCAGAACAAGTGAGCGGATTATTTTAAAGAGAGCCCAAAAAGCAGTAAAACACAACAGGGGTTCTAATCCTTTCTCAATTTATCCAAAAAAAAAAAAAAAAGTGTTCACTAGACTTGTACTTTATTCACAGGTAAAAATGTGTGCAACTGCTCAAAATCTCCAGATAACCTCATTTGTTCTATGCACTCTGTTCTAAAAGCATTGGGTGTGGTTCACAGGCATACACCTGAGGTTTCTTCCCAGTTTTCCCCTCATGAACCACTGTGGAAGAACCCAAATCTAATACACTTCCCAGTGCTGACCCTGTACTGTGGATGAAATATAGGATTAAGACACCCCATTATACAGAGCCTTGAAAAAGTATTCATACCCCTTGACATTTTCCACATTTTGTCATGTTACAACCAAAAACGTAAATGTATTTTAATGGGATTTTATGTGATCGACCAACACAAAGTGGTACATAATTATGAAGTGGAAGGAAAATGGTAAATGGTTTTCCAAATTTTTTTACAAATAAATATCTGAAAAGTGTGGCATCCATTTGTATTCAGCCCCCTTTACTCTGATATACCAAACTAAAATCTAGTGGAACCAATTGCCTTCAGAAGTCACCGAATTAGTAAATTCCACCTGTGTGTAATTTAATCTCAGTATAAATACAGATGTTCTGTGAATCCCTCAGAGGTTTGTTAGAGAACAATAGTGAACAAACAGCATCATGAAGGCCAAGGAACACACCAGAAAAGGCCAGGGATAAAGCTGTGGAGAAGTTTAAAGCAGGGTTAGATCATAAAGAAAAAAAATATCCTTAGCTTTCAACATCTCACGGAGCACGGTTCAATCCATCATCCAAAAATGGAAAGAGTATGGCACAACTGCAAACCTACCAAAGCATGGCCGTCCACCTAAAGTGACAGGCTGGGCAAGGAGAGCATTAATCAGAGAAGCAGCCAAGAGGCCCATGGTAACTCTGGAGGAGCTGCTGAGATCCACAGCTCAGGTGGGAGAATCTGTCCACAGGACAACTATTAGTCGTGCACTCTACAAATCTTGCCTTTATGGAAAGATTGGCAAGAAGAAAGCCATTGTTGAAAGAACCCTTTGCAGTTTGTGAAAAACCATGTGGGGGACACCGCAAACATGTGGAAGAAGGTGCTGTGGTCAGATGAGACTAAAATGGGACTTTTTGGCCTAAAAGCAAAATGCTATGTGTGGGAGAAAAACACTGCACATCACCGTGAAACATAGTGGTAGCAGCATCATATTGTGGGGATGCTTTTCTCCAGCAGGGACAGAGAAGCTGGTCAGAGTTGATGGGAAGATAGATGGAGCCAAATACAGGGCAATCTTAGAAGAAAACCTGTTACAAAAAGACTTGAGACTGGGAAGGAGGTTCACCTTCCAGCAGGACAACGATCCTAAACATACAGCTAGAGCTATAATGGAATGGTTTAGATCAAAGCATATTCATGTGTTAGAATGGCCCAGTCAAAGCCCAGACCTAAAGCCAATTGAGAATCTGTGGCAAGACATGAAAAGTGCTAATCACAGATGTTCTCCATCCAATCTGACAGAGCTTGAGCTATTTCTCAAAGAGGAATGGGCAAAAATTTGTCTCTAAAGATGTGCAAAGCTGGTAGAGACATCTCCAAAAAGACTTGCAGCTGTAATTGCAGCGAAAGGTGGTTCTAAAAAGTATTGACTCAGGGGGGGCTGAAGACAAATGCATACCACACTTTTCAGATATTTGTAAAAAAAATTTGATAATTTTCCTTCCACTTCACAATTATGTGCCACTTTGTGTTGGTCTCACATAAAATCCCAATAAAATACATTTAAGTTCTGGTTGTAACATGACAAAATGTCAAAAATTTCAAGGGGTATGAATACTTTTTCAAGGCACTGTATTGTGTCCCACAGTTCCCTGAGGACCTTTTATAATTTAAAATCACTTTATTAACTGCTTAACACTCATTTCTTAAGATATATTCAATTACAACACACTTCCCAGTCCCAGTATGGGACCGTCCAGCTATTAGAGCTTTTTGGCAAGAGGTTTTGACTTGTATCACCTCGATAACTAGCATTTCTGTTCCCCTCTCCATAGAAGTTTGTCTACTCAGTTTAGTTGACTCTTTTGCAACCATTAAACCCACACATACTCTCCTCACACTGTTATTTTATGCTATAAAACTAATTATCCTCTTCCCCGCTGCCCTATAGTAGAATTACTGCTACAGGGCTGTGCAAAATCATATATTATATATATATATATATAGTAATATATACACACACACACACACGATTAGCATTTCTGGGTAGGGGGCGTGCACGTGCGCCACCCTACACGCTCCACACCATTGGTGGATACAGATGTCAATTACCGGGTCCCGGCCAGAGATTCCCCACGAGCAAATTGCCGAGTAACACTGACAGGGGAGAGACCTGTGTGTAAACACAGGTCTCTCTCCTGCCAGCAAGAATATGCTGCTGTGTATTTCTCTGCACAGCAAAGAAATACACAGCAGCATGTTTCCCTAGTAAAACACACACACAGCACATGATGTAAAACAGCATACAGCACAGTTAACCTTTGATCGCACCCAGATGTTAACCCCTTCCTGCCAGAGTAATTAGTACAGTGCTCTTTATATAACTGATCACTGTATTCGTGTCATTGGGATGTCAGTGGCAGTCAGTTCCCACCCAGTGTCAGAATGCCCCCCGCAGTCCTGCAGTAAGTCGCTGATCGCCACCATTACTAGTATAAAAAAAATTAAAATAAAAATTCCAGTATATATACACTGCCATTTGTAGATGCTATAACCAAATGTAAACAATAATTTACAATTTTTTTTTTTCGCAAAGACACAGAACATCAAATATTGATGAAAAATTTTTACAAAAAAAACCCAAACCAAAAAAACAATAAAAAAAAAACAAAAAACACAAAATGCGGTTTCTGATTAAGCGACTCTATGCATTTACATTTCTAACTATTAACCTATGGACTATGCTCCCTCCCTTTTGTTTTAGACATCACTGTGCCTGCTTAGCTATTGGGAGATGATCAGGGTTATCCTGTACTTCATGGAGAGTTGCTGTTCTCCTTGAATTCTCACGGCTATGTCACTTGATGCATACTCCTTGGTAAAATGTCAATAAACAGAATTAAAAAAAAAAAAATGCTACATGCAAAGTTGTAGCAGATATCATATACCCAATGGAGGAGTGTTACTTAAACTGGAGCACTCAGAATCTGGTGCAGCTGTGCATGGTAACCAATCAGTTTCCAACTTCAGCTTGTTCAGTTAAGCTTAGGCAATAAAACCTGGAATCTGATTGGTTTCTATGCACGGCTTGTAGTGACTTTTGGACTATTTAAGAAAAATGATATTATCCCAAAGAGGAAATTCTAAGCTGACTGTCATGGGTTCAGGTGACCTTCCAGGAACCGACCATAAACAATGAGTGGAAGCGACCTGTTTAAAATACAATAAGATTAAACACCATTATTTGAGGTTTTGCAGATGCTCAAACTACCATAATTTGACAATGGTGGGACTAAAACCTTATTTACTCTTTATTACAAGACCTTGCAGATGTGTGTTATTTAAACAAGCACCATTGTCTATGGAAAGCCAGAAGATATTTCCTTTGAAGGTCTCAAGGAAATTCAATTATAGTGAGTCAAACATCTCACTAAACTCCAACTGGATGTGTACTCTAATTATCACACAATAGTGCTAGTAACTAGACGCTTCTTATGTCATCTCTCCTTAAACTTTGCCCTCAGCTCATAAGGAAAAACTTGGTTCATTTAAGATACAAAGGAAAGTGTGGCATATACCCACACACCAAGATCTATTCAACAAAGTTGGGTACTGCATGCCACTCAACTAAAGATCATGAAGTCATAGAATATAAGATGGCTTGTGAGTTGGGTAAATTACATATCTCCAAATAAAAGTTACAATAATACATGAGTCTATATCAAGATGGAGAGAGAGATGGTATAAATCAGTGGTTCTCAATCTGTGGGTCGCGACCCCTTTGGGGGTCAAATGACCCTTTCACAGGGGTCGCCTAAGACCATCGGAAAACACATATTTCCGATGTGTAAAGAGCAGCTACTGTGTAGAAAGCAGCTGGAGTGTTGAAAGCAGCTACTCTGTTAAAAGCAGCTACTGAGTTGAAAGCAGCAGTATTGGAGGTAAAACGACACTCATGAATTATGATTACTGGGTAAATAATTTTATGGTTGGGGGTCACCACAACATGAGGAACTGTATTAAAGGGTCGCGGCATTAGGAAGGTTGAGAATCACTGGTATAAATCATCTGATGAACGGGAATTAAGCACACGAGATAATACCAGAACAAAAATTATACCAACATTATACAGAGATCGGCCATTTCATGACAAAAAAAATCAGCAATCCCAATACAGCTCATATCAGGAAGATGATGAGACACCAAATATTTCTATGGTCCTTATTCAAGAGTTAGTGGGGAAGTCATTTATACCTGAATAGGACCCATATATTTTTATCCATAAAGACATACTGTTTATATCAAAGGGTGAGTCATCATTAAGATCACCAGTTCATTTGTGATACCCGACTGTCCCCGGTGGACAGGTAAGGAACTTCTAAAAGGTACACAAACTTCTTAACCGTCCAATCAACAAGCCCGTTGGGAGGTCCTTCGGAACAAAGGACTTGTATGGTACAAAAATGCCACACGCCTCAAATTAAAAATCACTTCTAAAATTACTTCTGAAATCACTTCTTGATCACTTCTGAAACTATACTACTGAACTTCTAAACTAATTCATACTATATTTTTCATTTGACTATACTCGCTGCTTCCTGCTACCTGTGGCCATTTTGCTGAAAACTTCCAGCTGCCATTTTGTTTTTGAAGGAAAAGACTTTCGCCAGAGACTCTGCTGCTGATTTAAATTCTGGTGCCTGACTGACCAGAAACAATTTTCTTTTCCCAACTGCATCCCACTGGGAGGCCTCAAAAATGGAAATTCTGGGAGTGGTGAGACTGTGCCAAAATACTATAATTTTCTTTTATATTTCAAACTTAAGATTTACAACATTTTTATTGTGTGATTAGGAATGTACTAAGGTTATCTGAATAATTATTAATGTTACTGTTTGAGTATTAGTACTGAGATCATATACTGCATACTAACTGATTTGTAGTGTTTTTGTGGTGCTAATTATCAGAGATACTTTCTTATTTCCCTACGGCCGCGGGAAATTGGAAATAATATCTGAAGCATTATAGGTTGCAACTAACTCCTCTAAAATTTGTTGTAAGTCATTTGATAACCATATATTGTATTATACCATAGAGATTAGCGTACTATATCTTTGATTGTGTGTACGAATATATTCATCATATATTCGCGTTTGTATTAATATATATATATATATATATATATATATATATATATACTGTATATATATATATATAAATATTTGTACATAAATAAATGTATTTATCAAAAAGGCAAATTTTGTGTATATGGTAACGAAATCACATTGGTGAAAAGAACTCAAGAAATATTATTAAGTGGTGATCAAATTATTAAGGTGGCCAAATTATTGGTTTATTAAATATTTGCCGTATTTTAATGGCTGGAGGCACTGCAATATTTTGTTTAAGGGAACCGACACCGCCCTGCTTAGTTAGTATAAATTATTACATAAACCACCACAGGCTGCACCAGACTTTGCATGCTCCAGTTTTAGTAAATCAACCCCAGTTTGTCCTAATTTCAGATTTCTAAAATTACAAGAAAAGTTGAACAAAGCTCCACTATATTCACTGGTCTTTATCATGTAAGCATATGCCACAAACCTCTTCATATCATGAATCACATTATGTTCTCTGGACAGAAATAGGTTTACCTACTTGTGACACCAGTCCATTCAGCTGTTCAGAAAGCTGCCGCAGACTGTCCGTTGATGAGACAAACCTAGTAAATGGTACACATAAGTAAAGGTGTTGTTTTTTCCCACCCAATTATAATATTAATAATACAGTTTACTGTAAGAAATGTTGTTTTCCTGCTATTTGGAGAACAAGCAGTTTTTCACGGTGCAGTCACCCAAAACAAATACTCCAGTTCTGGAAGATTCTGGTTGAATCAACGTGTTTCTTACATTTTCTGGTGACCCACTGAAAAATCTTCACAAACTAACTCGAAATTTCTCCCACCCGCTGCTGCAATCGCAGTGAGACACATACTTGACATAGGATATTTTCTGAACACATACAATGTAGTGAATTCAGCAGACTAATGCATCCCACTGCAGTGGGAGGAAGTCTTAATTACAGGAAGAAAAAAAATTGAGGAACTCCTACCCATTTGTAAGAATAAACCCTTTAAGAATATATAGATGCTCATGGACCAACCCTTATCCGCCGGTTACATAAAAGCCGATTTTGAAATCGTGCGACTTACAGTGAAGTCGCACGATTTCAAAATTTGGGTTACCTGCTGACTTCATTGCGATTTGCAAGACATCTGACACAGATGTCTATGCAAATCGCAACAAAAGTCGGAACCGCACCGATATGACCGCTGTAATAGCGGACAATAGGGTGCGACTTGGCATACGATTAGCAAACCGCATGCCAAGTTGCACCCAATGTGACCGGGGGCTTAAAGTGTTTCTAGCTGTTCATAAGTGCAAATGACTCCACTAGTGTAGAGAGCTCCTGGTGACATTCATTCCTGCATTGTAAGGAGGGCCTTGTTGCTGTTGTCAATTTTTAATCCCTAATAATGCCAAGACTTTCCCCATCATTTAATAATCCAATGTCAGAACCTAAAGGGCAGTAGAGTCTCAGAGAAGAAAATGTAATATAGTGGGGACAAGGGACACAAAAGTAGAATAGCCAAGCAAGCTGCCTGTGTTTCAGCAGTATGATTAGTTTTATGAAGTTTAAAACCCTGACAGGTTCAATTTACACCTCTGCACCTCTAGCTGAGTGATATCCAAAGCCAGCACCCCTACTCCTGAGCCACAGAGGGCAAGAATACCTCACTCGTGCTTGGAGCAGTGATACAAGGTTTTAAAGGTTCACATCACAGTCATAAGCCAACATCAATGCTCTGTACCAGCATACAAGGTATCTCTGGGATTTGGAGTATCCTCCAGAATTAGAGGAATTGTTTTTTTTAAACCATTTAATGCAGGACACATACTGAGGAGAATACACTTACCTGTTTCCATCGGATGTCACCTTTGTACCATCATAGTCATTCTGCTGAAGAAGAAAACAGGTATTACCAAAAGCAAGGAAGCAAAAAGAAAAGAAAAAGAAAAGAGAAAAGCAAAGAGATCAGAAAGGCAAAACCCAGAAAAAAGAAATGACAGAACCACCAAATTATCTATCCACAGCCAACACAAACCAATGCAGCATGCTAAAGCAGAGAGGACTCCCAACACCCGAACTTGATACAAGAAACAGGAAGTACACATCCCCTACTTCATGCCAAAACAAAACACCATAATTGGTTGTAAACATGAAATTGCGTTGTACTGCGTGTATCTGCTTAATCACAGTGTTAATAAGTTTCCAAGCATCAGTCTGCCACTATAAAAGCCACAGTACCATTTTCCCATTTTTAATATTCTGCAGTTTGCCCCATAACAGGGAAAACACAAATGTCACCTAGTAAAGTTCCCTTTAAAGCAGGGGTAGGCAACCTAAACAGGTGGAGATATGCCTGGAGAAGTCAAAGATCACCAGGCACAATGTCACCTCCTCACACCTGATTTAAACCTCTAATTGTCATATTACTGTGTTGCAATCATGTGCATTCCATGGCAATCATGGGTTTAAATCAGAGGAACATCAGTGCCTGCTGCACTTGTGAATGAGCCCTTAGCTGCATTCGGCAGTGGCACCCTTAGGGCTTGTTCACACAAAGTGGGAAGTGGTGAAACTCTGAGGTTTAATCTCGTTTTTTACCCCCCCCCCGCCTGAGGAAGCAACCCACAGTAGGAATTAAATCCTCTGTTGCTTTTGGTGGGTGCTACTGCCTGCCAATCACGACCCACATAAAGGGGATCACTCTGCAAGAGAGTGGCATCATTCACTGGAATAGGTCATGCTTGGAAGGTGCTACACCCATCATGACAGGGTGTATAACTCCTGCTGCAGCATGTGTACATCCCTGACCACTGCAGCTAAACGGGGTGTGCTTGGGGCATGGGTGGCAAGAACATATATATATATATATATATATATATATATATATATACATATATACATATATATATATACACACACATACATACATACATACACAGACACACACAGTAAAGGAAATAAGTATTTGATCCCCTGCTGATTCAGTCTAAAAATCGAATGGTAGGTGTATTGTAACACTGAGACAGAATAGCAACAAAGAATTCCAAAGAAATGCATGTCTAACAAATTATGCACGGATTTGCATGTTCGTGAGGGAAATAAGTATTTGATCCCCTATCATTCAGCAGGATTTCTGGCTACCAGGTGTCTTTCATACAGGTAACAAGCTGAGATTAGAAGAGATTAGAAGCAGTCTCTTAAAGGCAGTGCTGCTAATCTCATGTTACCTGTATAAAAGACACCTGTCCACAGGAGCAATCAAACAATCAGATTCCATACTCTCCACCAAGGCAAAGACCAAAGAGCTGTCCAAGGATGTCGGAGACAAGATTGTAGACCTACACAAGGCTGGACTGGGCTACAAAACTATCGCCAAGCAGCTTGGTGAGAAGATGACGACAGTTGGTGCAATCATTCGCAAATGGAAGAAACACAAAACAACTGTCAGTCTCTCTAGGTCTGGTGCTCCATGCAAGATCTCACCTCGTGGAGTGTCAATGATCATGAGAACAGTGAGGAATCATCCCAGAACTATACGTGAGGATCTTGTCAATGATCTCCAGCCAGCTGGGACCACAATCACCAAGAAAACAATTGGTAACACACTATGCCGACAAGGATTGAAATCCTGCAGTGCCCGCAAGGTCCCTCTGCTCAAGAAAGCACATGTCCAGGCCCGTCTGAAGTTTATCACTGAACATCTGAATGATGCAGAGGAGGACTGGTTGAAAGTGTTGTGGTCAGATGAGACCAAAATCGAGCTCAACTCGCCGTGTTTGGAGGAGGAGGAGGAGGAATGCTGCCTTTGACCCCAAGAACACCATCCCAACTGTCAAACATGGTGGTGGAAACATTCTGCTTTGGGGGTGTTTTTCTGCTAAGGGGACAGGACAACTGCACCGCATCAAAGGGACGATGGACGGGGCAATGTACCGTCAAATCTTGGGTGAAAACCTTCTCCCCTAAGACAGGGCATTGAAAATGGGTCTTGGATGGGTGTTCCAGCATGACAATGACCCAAAACACACGGCCAAAGCAACAAAGGAGTGGCTCAAGAAGAAGCACATTAAGGTCCTGGAGTGGCCTAGCCAGTCTCCTGACCTTAATCCGATTGAAAATCTGTGGAGGGAGCTGAAAGTTCGAGTTGCCGAACGTCAGCAACCAAACCTGAATGACAGAGAGGATCTGCCAAGAAAACCTGGTGGCCAACTACAGGAAACATCTGACCTCTGTGATTGCCAACAAGGGATTTGCCACCAAGTACTAAGTCATGTTTTGTGAAGGGGTTCAAATACTTATTTCCCTCATGAACATGCATATCAGTGCATCATTTGTTAGACATGCATTTCTTTTGACTCTTTTGTTGCTATTCTGTCTCTCAGTGTTACAATACACCTACCATTCGATTTTTAGACTGAATCAGCAGGGGATCAAATACTTATTTCCTTCACTGTATATATATATACATATACATATATACATACATACATATACATACACACACGGTACAGGGGCGAACTGACCATTTGGAAACTCGGGCACTGCCCAAGAGCCTGGGGTCAGTAGGGGGCCCCATGAAATGCCCCTGGTACCTTTTTTATAGGCTTTTTTGCGTTTGGGAAGGACACAGGGGCCCCATGATCCCCTATTGCCGGGGTACCCATGAGTTGTCATAACGTTTTCATACCCCCTTCACTTTTTTTCAATTCTGTGATGTTGCAGCCTGATACCAGATATTTACATTATATTTTCCTATCTACATGTAGTGCCCCATAATAAAGTGAAAACAGAATTTTAGAAATGTCAAAATTTTTGAAAAAGAAGAAATTGAAATAGCACATTGGCATAAGCATTCAGACCCTTCGCAACAACACTTGCAATTTAGCTCTGGTGCCTCCCATTTTTTTTGAGGATTGCTGAGATGTTTCTACACCTTGGAGTCCACCTGTGGTAAATTATATTGATTGGACATGATTTGTAAAGGCACACACCTTTCTATAAAAGGCCTTACAGCTGACAAGCAAAGTAAAAGCCATGAGGTCAAACGGAACTGCCTGCAGAGCTCAGAAACAGGATCTGGGGAAGGCTACAAAAAATGTTCTGCTGCACTGAAGGTTCCCAAGAGCACAGTGGCTCTCAAAAGGAAGAACTTTGGCACAACCAAGACTATTCTAAGAGCTGGTCGCCTGATCAAACTGAGCAACTGGGGGGACAAGGGTCTTGGTAAGAGAGGTGACCAAGAGCCTGATGTTCACTCTGACTGAGCTCCAAAGATCCTGTGTAGAGATGGGACAACGTTCCAGAAGAACAGCAATCACTGCAGTCCTCCAGCAATCTGGCATTTATGAATTGGGGGAGGTGTCACTAGGCAGTGCCCCTAAAATAAAAAAAATCCCCCCCCCCACAGTAGTACCCCCTGCCCCCCCCTTTACATCACCACAAACTGCAGTGTCCCATACTCCCAATGCAGTGTCCTCTGCCCCCTTCATATCATCTTGCTGCAGGTATCATGAGAGCAGCCAAGGCTAGGGGGAGGCAGAGCCGCGGGGTCACACGACCCGTCGGCTCTCCGTGGTTGACCGGGCAATCGAAGGCTTGCTGACCCCCCCGAAATAAAAGGGTCTGAATACTTAAGTATATGTGATATTTAAATTTTTTTTTTATATAAATTCACAGACATTGCTAAAATTCTGTTTTCACTTTGTCATTATGGGGTACTGAGTGCAGATTAATGAGAACAAAATTAATTTAACCAACTGTAGTATCAGGCTGCAACTTAACATTGAAAAAAAAAAAGTAGGAGGGGGTCTAAATACTTTACAAATGCAGAGTGTGTGTGTGTGTGTGTGTGTGTGTGTGTGTGTGTGTGTGTGTGTGTGTGTGTGTGTGTGTGTGTGTGTGTGTGTGTGTGTGTGTGTGTGTGTGTGTGTGTAAAACCAAAGCAGTACCCACAATACAAAGCAAATTCTACAATGCCGCAGCCAAAACAGAGGATTTAATGCTTAGGGAACTAAGATCATAGAGTTGGGGAGAGAGAGATTTTAGAAAAGTTGCTACTAAAATCAGCACTACTCAGACAGTGCAGTGTGTGGTCGCTGCACACCTCAGACAGTGGGTTATCAAATTGCATTTCGGTTGGGGTTTTAGAGTTATCGTAGACATCCTCTGTTAGGATTTCAACGTCTTGAGCAACATCTTGCTCCAAGATCACCTGTCAGGGTACACAACATGGATTAGTGGTATAGATGATCTCTTTACACAAGGACCTGACATTTTTGAATTAGAAGACAACAAACCATGAGAACGTGCAGACAAACAGGATGAATAGTCAACAGAACTGGAAGCAAAAACGAGAATATAAACAAATATACAAAGGACAAGACTAGGGGCAAACCAAATAAATACACTAGCCATTACCTTGAAAATTCATTATCCTAAAAAATGCTTAAAAGCTGCATTAACATTATCAATTTTTTTTACATTTATACAGCGCTAAATCAATTTGCATTTCTTTGCAGAGTTTACAGAATCAATCTGCTTAGTCCCTGCCCCAGTGGAGCTTACAATGTAATATCTTTACAGTCAGACATACATGCATACACAAGTAAACATCCCTATCTCAGTTAGAGAGGCTTTGGCAATGCAATTATTCCTGTTCTAAAAATGCCCATTTTGCAAATAAAAGGAACAAAATAAAAAAAAAAAAAAATTGAAAAAAAAAAAAATATATATATACACCACTGATAAACTACATCTACAGAGGGGACGTGGTTCCTTCAAAAACTGGTGGGAAGGCCTCACAAAAATGGGCAGCAGTATTTCAACTGTGTATGCAGCTGCTTGCCAAGAGTTCAATGCTAACCACTCCTGGACTGCCCACCCACAATGTACTGCAGAAGGGTGGCCCATGCAGGAACAGCAATGTACTGTTATGTCACTGCCCGCTTCATGGTTTTAGGGCAAAAATATGCACGCCCTCCCGCCGACACCCATTGTGAGTGTACACAGTGGGAGTCTATCAGCAAGTCCCAGTCAATGATTCATGGCTGGGATCTGCTGTGTCCAATCACAATCCAGAGCCCCGTGTTGACAATCAACACTGGCTCTGTACAGAGAGAACGATCTCTAAGTTTCTCAACCCTGCGAAGCAGCACATAATAGACACACTACACAGTTAGGCACACAACTTACCCCTTGATTGCCCTAGATGTTAACCCCTTCCCAGCCAGTGTCATTAGAACAGTGTATAGTATAGTATCATCAATGTATTAATGTATTAATGCCACTGGTGATGTCAGTGGAAGTTAGTCAGTCCCCCCTCCCCAGCGTCAGAATGCCTGCCACACTATTGCAGTCTCATAAGTTGCTAACCTTGTCATTCGTAGTATAGAAAAAAAAAAAGAATAAATAATAAAAAAGTGTGTGTGTGTATATATATATATATATATATATATATATATATATATATATATATATATATATATATATATATATATATATATATATATATACACACACACACATATATATATATATATGTACCTCGGTTTACAAATTTAATGCGTTCTCCGGGACATTTTGTGTTGCGAAAAATTTGTAAACCGAAACAAGGTTTCCCATAGGAATGCATTGAGAACCAACTAATCCATTCCAGAGGTCAGAAAAAAAGTAAAGAAAAAAAAAAAGTCTTAACTGTTCAAAACTTTATAAAGTGCACTTTAAAGGCATAAATACTGTCCAGGGACACGATTAAAAAATTTCCAGAATGGCTCCAAAACTCGATGCAAAAACCGCTCCAACAACTCTACAATCAACACCACATGCTACCCACAGACTCCAGCATGCACGGGGGTGGCACCATAAACCTCCCTGGCGCAATGCATCCTGGGGAAACTTGCTTCGTATTGCGAAAAAAAAATTGTGAACTGAAACGCGGTTTCCCATAGGAATGTATTGAAAACCAATTAATCCATTCCAGAGGTATATACACATATAAAATTCACACAAACCAATCAATATACACTTATTAGGATTTTTTTTTTAACCAAAGACATGTAGCATAATATATTTTGTCATAAAAATATATTTTTATGTGTTTTATAGCAAAAAGTAAAAAATGTTTTTGTTTTTTTTTTTTCTTCAAAATTGTCCGTCTTTATTCATTTATACCACTAAAGATAAAAAATCCAGTGGTGATCAAAAACCACCAAAAGAAAGCTATATTGTTTTGGCATGACCGCACAATCATCAGTTAAAGTAGCGCAGTGCTAAATAGGAAAAAATGGTCTTATTATGAAGGGGGGTAAAACCTTCCGGAGCTAAAGTAGATCACCTAGCAAACAGTTTTGGTTTTAGATAGACTATGCACACACGAGGGCCTTGTGGTGCCATTTATTTGATTGGCACACCGACACACTAAGGCAACACTCCTGCGATGCACTACTGTGCGTTATGGTGCTCTGCATTGAAAAGAAGAGCACATAACTGTTTGTAGGTTCATTGTGCTGCACTGGCACTACTGGAATGAATGGTGTGCCTTAACATAACCTGCGTAGAGTTGTGACGCATTCAGCGGGCACTATTACCCACCGAACATGAGCCATTCAACAAAACGGAGCTGGGCAGCAATCCCATGCAACTGAGATGAGGTAGTGTGGCATGTGGGGGTTAGGAGAAGAAAAAAAAAAAAAAAAAAAAAAAGTGAGGTGAGGTGGTGATAGAGCCTTCCTCACTACCTGTCAAACACCTCTGAATAGCAATGTTACTGTGGATCACTTTTCAGAGGTGCGGCAGTCCTTGCTGCTAGTGTAAACAAGCCCTAAGAGGCAGAATATATAGGTGTGTGCATGTTATAGGGATTCTGAGATTATGATTTTAACCTTGAGTTCAGCTTTGTCACAGATGAATAATATTTTGTAAAGCACTGCCCAAACAAACAAGGCCTCTGAACACAGCCCACTTTATAATTTACAAAAGACATTTAGAAAGATGTATTTTTTTAGGCAAATCGGTGTATTCTTGCTTGTTTTGCCTTTGCTGAGATTTCTAGTTCAATAACCGAATTAGGAACAGAAGGCACTCTTCATAATAAAGTCATCCTTCTCATGCAGGAGAGTGACGTGTCAGCAGTGACTCACATGCCTACCTGTGAGAAGTTCCTGTTTGACAAGTTAGGGAGTTGTTGGCATATAGGATGAGAGGAAAGGAGCTCAGACACCTGTGAAACCGACACCATCAACATGTTACTACCTTCTGTTTTCCTGACTGCTTTTCAGGAAGAGCTAAGCTGGTCACACACTTTCAGGTTTTTTTTCTTTTTTTTTTCTTTCAACCAGCCATGATACCATTATCTCCTACCTGTGCTTAAATCACAATAACTCCAGCCACATAGCAGCCCTTCTTTTCTGAACCTAAAAAGTCACAAGGCTGAGAGAGCAACACGGTCATTATTATCTGCACAGGAACTGCAGGAATGTCAGCTTGCTGCTTGTGACAACTGTTTGAACAGAAGTGACACTGATATGCTTGATTTGAAACAAGCCTTATATCCTGCCAGGGCTATTTCAGAGGCGCGAACCAGCAAATGGCAGGATCAGTCATGGACAACCAGTGACAGATAAAATCCGCCTTGCTGGCATCCATGCCGCGTACAGACAGCAGGAGAATCCAATAATCCTATTCAGTCACACTGCAGTTTTGGCTGCCCATAGTGTAAGTGGTCAGGGTATGTACACAGTCGTCTTGTTCCCAAATTCACTCGCTCTACAAACCTAGGTATCTTACATTGAACACAAAGCTAACAAGCCAGACAGAACTGAAATAAAGGATGCTTAATCTGAATTACAAACCAGTCCTTAAAGTGATACTAAAGGCAACATTTTTTGGTGCGTTTTGGACAGAGTGGAGAGGGATTAGAACACCTATTAGGCTTTTATTGCTGAATGTGCCCTCATTAGGGAGATTCACTCTCTCTCTCTATATGTCCTGTTTAGTATTATCATTGAAAGTAAAAGAAAATCCGAAACTTGGGTTGTCCCCAGAACAGAAATAGAGGTGAAACCTTCCAATGGAGACACCAGTTCTGGTGATGTGGGGCGCCCCAAGGGAGCTCCACTTTAATTTCACTTTGGCTAGGCAGCAAAAGGAACACTGAAAGGGGATAAGGTCATCAGTCTCCTGCTTCTCTTCTACTGTCCAGTCACAGGTTGGGGGAGAGACAAGACCTGTAAGTGTTACTTAACTTCTGCAAAGAAAAATCAGGTCTCCTGCCAGACAGGACTGTACTTGTGTGGCAGAACTGTGTAAATCTCAGGACTGTATAGACAATAATATAAAGGAGTCAGAAGGTGAACACACCATATACATGAATTTCTTCTGTGTAAAGGTTCAGATAAAGTTTGACCTAAGCACTTCAGTAACAGCTTGTAAACTGTCAATTGTTGGTAAACAGTCCCCCAATGCAAATGAAAAGTGTAAAATGAAAACAAAAAACAAAGTACATAAACACAGCCAGCAAAGTTAAAAACAGGAACGAAGCAGAGCAGAAAAGCACAGGCAAAGCTACTAAAAGCAGAAAAACCGAACCCCAAATAAAACCTCACCTTCATATCGGCCAGTGCGGGGATGGATACCCCATTGGTTCTATGAAGATCTGACACCAGCCCCTTCAAAATCGCCTCAATCTGAACACAGCAAAGAAAACAGAGAAAGAAGGGAAAGATAGACAATAAGCAGAAAGGAGAAACCTATTTATTTAAAAAATCCAGCAATCCATAACATTTCAAGGTACTGTCTTCTCTGGGAGCACCAAGGCACAGTTCTGAACAGGAACAAGTACACAGCAGTCACCAAGGCAGAGCTGCCTTCCTTTTATCTACTGAGCAATACATTACAGAAAATACTGAAAACAAGTTTTGATGTCTGCCCACTGCATTCAGCTTAGTAAATGTAGCTTTTACACCAAATGTTTGAAGAGCACTTGGCAGGAGAGTCAAAACGGTCTGCTGAATGCCAATAAAAGGATAATATAGGAAAACCTATAGCTGCACTGACAATCAACACAAACAAACTACAACACTATGAACACTAGATGCAGATACCAATATGAACACTCAAGACTAGATGTAGACATCAATATGAACACTAGATGCAGATATCAATATGAACACTAGATGTAGACATCAATATGAACACAATAGATGCAGATATCAATATGAACACTAGATGCAGATATCAATATGAACACTAGATGAACACTAGATAGATATCAATATGAACACTAGATGTAGATATCAATATGAACACTAGATGCAGATATCAATATGAACACTAGATGCAGATACCAATATGACACACTAGATGTAGATATCAATATGAACACTAGATGTAGATATCAATATGAACACACTAGATGTAGATATCAATATGAACACTAGATGTAGATATCAATATGAACACTAGATGTAGATATCAATATGAACACTAGATGTAGATATCAATATGAACACTAGATGCAGATATCAATATGAACACTAGATGTAGATATCAATATGAACACTAGATGTAGATATCAATAGATGAACACTAGATGCAGATATCAATATGAACACTAGATGCAGATATCAATATGAATACTAGATGAACACTAGATGTAGATGCAGATATCAATATGAACACTAGATGTAGATATCAATATGAATACTAGATGCAGATATCAATATGAACACTAGATGCAGATATCAATATGAACACTAGATGTAGACATCAATATGAACACTAGATGCAGATATCAATTAATAATAGTTAATAGCCAATAGTTAGGGGAAGCATAGCATTATGTAAAAGATCGCTTTGGTATTTGTAACAGTCACATCAATATGTAATGATGGTTTTGTTTTCCTTACCCTTTAAGACAGGGGTAGGCAACCTTTTGAGCATGATGTGCCGAAAAATGTTTTCAAAGAAATTGAGAATGCCAGTTATATAAAAAATGTCAACTTTACACACTCAATAACGAAAAAAAGGAATTTTTATACAGTAAATGCTGTAAACTATTTGAATAATAGTAAGAAAACAATAAGCTTTCAAGGATGGTAAATGTTAGCTTACCCCTTTTCCAGAACATATGTGCTGTGAGGTAAGTATGGTAAGGTTGAAATGAATATGTCAACCGAGGACTTCCGCTAAATATACAGTTGGAAATGAAGTGTGAGGTGATCGTGGTCACCCTAATAAAGGTCTCTTAGATCAAACCCAATCTCTGCACCTTCGGACCCTAAATCAGCCCTAATTCCTTCACACCTCAGATCACCCCAATTCCTGCACCTTATAAGTGGAGCTCCACCCAAAAGGGGAAGTTCCTCTTTAAGGACTGCTCCCCATTAAGGATTGGCACCTTTGGGGGGCGGGGGAGGAGTGGGTACCCAAATTTCACAGGTACGCCTAGGCGACCAGAAGCAAGAAGGTGTCCTCCCTCCCTCCTTGTAGTCTATTGGGACACGTGACAGGTCCCAGAAGACAAGACCATTTATGAAGCGCATCGCTACTCGTGCATGTGCAGTGGGTACCCGGCTTCCTCAGGCCTCAGATTAGCTCCAATTCCTGCTCCAATTCCTGCACTTTACACCTTCTCAGATCAGCTCCAACCTTCCAGATACACACCTTCATGGCTCAGATCACCCCAATTCCTACACCTTCACATCTTAGCTCAGACCAATGCCTGCACCTTCACCTGTCAGATCACTCCAATGTCTGTAGTTTTACACCATAGATCACCCAAATTCCTGTACTTTCACAAACCAGATTGGCCCCAAATCCTGTACCTTCACACCTCAGATCAGTGCCAATTCTTGCATCTCCAGGCCTCAGATCAGCCCCAATTTCTGTACCTTCACACCTCAGCTCACCCCAATTACTGGAACTTCACACCCCAGTCCCCAGCAAAAATTCTTGTGGCTTCAGGTCTCAGATCAGCCCCAATTCCTGCACCTCCAAGCCTCAGGTCAGTCCCAATTCCTGCACCTTCACACCTGAGGTCAGTCCCTGTGACAGATCCAACTGGGACAGGGGCTTTTGGAGGGGAATAGGGGCTAGCCTACTGCCCACTGGTTATGGCCCATGGAGAGAGCAGATCATTCTCGAATGATGGATAAGAACGTGATGAATGCTGAGAGTGAGGCTTGGATTATCTGCATAAAGACAATAAATCTTCCCTTCTGGAGTGGATGGAAAGATGTAATATTATTCTTGTACAGGTTAATGGTCAGAAGAAATATGGTGGTCCTCATGAGGACTGGGTTGGAAAAGCTCCTCTATTTGGGACAGAAATATGTATCAATCTCCCTCAAGAAATCTATCAAGATAAATGAATTCCACTGTTCAGACTGTTGGAATATTGTATGAGTTTTGTCTACAGATTATACAAATGAAAGCAAACACCTGAAAGACAGCATGTGTAGTGGACTTTGTGTATTCAGGGGTAGGTTTGTTGCTGGGCTGTCTGTGGTGGGCTCCCTAATTTATCAAAGCACTGATGGGTGCCTGGCTGTTGATTAGATCACTGTTAGCTGTACTGTTTACACTGTTTAGGATAATGTGATCAAGCTCTTATTTAAAGCGGAGCTCCACCCAAAAGGGGAATTCAGCTTTAATGCTTTGTCCCCTGCTCCCCATTAAGGATTAGCACCTTTGGAGAGCGGGTACCAGAATTTGACAGGTATTGCTGCAATCGCAAGCAGAAGTTGTCCTCCCTCCCCGTAGTCTTCTGGGACACACAACAGGTCCCATTAGACTACGGGGCCATTCACAAAGCGCATCGCTTCTCGCGCATGCGCAGTGGTCACCCAGCTGTGAAGCTGCAAGCTGTCGCAGCCGGGTGCCCACACAAAAGATGCAGGCACTGGGGGAGAGAAGACGGCCAGTGAAACCAGTGGTGGTGAGGACACCGTTGGACCGAGGGACAGATTAGTGGCTGTATTTTAAAAGTCAGCAGCTACAGGTTTTGTTTTTTTTCAGCTGGAACTCTGCTTTAACCAGTGAGAGATGTTTATCCCAAAGTGTAATATTTGTTTTATTGTTCATGAGGGTATGGGCCCTATTTCTGGATTGTATAAAAACTTGTGTTTTCTGTTGAGTAAAGAGTTCCGGTTTGGCATCTAAGCTAGTTTCATCTAGTCTTGGGTTCAATACCCGGCTAGAATACCTTGTTCCTGTGTCCCAGTTACAAGGAAGCAGTTCTCTGACAAAATCACCCAATTGGGGAGACAGGCGTTCCATCACAGTCCCAATTTCTGCACCTAAGGTCAGCCCCAATTTCTGCCCCTTCACACCTCAGGTCAGCCCCAATTCCCGTTCCTTCAGACCCCGATTCCAGCATTTTCACACCTCAGATCACGCAAATATATGTGTATCTTTACACTTCTGATCATCTTCAATTCCTGCAAACTAAGAGCTCATATCACCCCAATTCCTGCACCTCCAAGCCCATCAGATCAGCCCAAATTCCTGCACCTCCAAGCCTCAGAACAGACCTCCAAGCCTCAGAACAGCCCAAATTCCTGCACCTCCAAGCCTCAGAATCAGCCCAAATTCCTGCACCTCCAAGCCTCAGATCAGCCCAAATTCCTGCACCTCCAAGCCTCAGATCAGCCCAAATTCCTGCACCTTCACACATATCACACCAAAACCTTTTACAACCTAGAGCAGCCCCAACTCTTGTTTCTCCAGGTTTCAGATTAGTCCCGATTCCTGCAATTTCCCACATCAGATCACCCAAATACCTGCACCTTTACACCTCTGATCATCTTCAATTCCTGCACCCTTACAGCTCATATTCCAATTACTGCACCTTCACATTTCAGCTCACCCCATATCTTGCACTTTCACAGTTCAGATCACCTCCATTCCTGCACTGCTTCTTCTGAAGAAGTCTGCACTGATTGGCGGACGAAACACGTCAATGTAACGTACTGACGTCATCATACCCAGAAGCAACGTCCCACGTGGACAACACCATGGACTGGTCAGAGCGGCCATGTTATTGTGCCATGCGATATGCCTCATGATCTGGCGGGAACTCTGCACAAGGAATACTCGTGATATGAGGTTTGATCATTACCCTAACGGGAACTGTGTGAATAAATCCACTCTATATCTACAACATGACAATCAAGTCTCAACGGGCTGAGAATCTATTTCCCGGGAAACGGCTAGGTCATTAGCCAGTATTTCGGTGGTCAGTGGGGTGCATTGTTAAAACATCATTAAGTGTTACTGCACACCTCATCTGAAGTTTTGTAATTTATTCTCAGCTTCATACTACATTTGCCATGATGTTTGGCTGGAGGAATATCTAGAAGGGATAAAGATATCTACATATTTTCACGATATATGGAGGCTTAAACCACACAGTATTCAAGCTATAAAGGAACATGGGACAGTATGAATCTTTCAACACTATAATTCCATGAGAACTCCTTCTTGCACTCTACAAACGGACATACTCATTTTTTCAATTTGCATTTTTTTGCTGTTCTCACACAGCCAATGATCATGATTATGCATATTTAGCTATATACGTGGCTATTTTTTGTCTTACTGCTATCACTGTAAATGCAGGATATATATGTGTACAACATAAAGCCTTGTGATAAACGGCTGAATTTTGGCTATCTTTGCTACTATG